TTTTTTCTTATCCTTAGTATAAGTTATTTCTTATGGTATTTTAACCATGTAAGTAACATAATATTTCACGTTTACTAAACACATCCTAGAAAAGAGTAATACTCTATTAATTTGCCCTTCCAGTGATATTCCAATACATTGACAATTCCAATAGAAGTTGTTTTTTCTTATCCTTAGTATAAGTTATTTCTTATGGTATTTTAACCATGTAAGTAACATAATATTTCACGTTTACTAAACACATCCTAGAAAGATTGTAAGTGGACAAACCCACTTACAACCCATATTTCAGCCCATGTAGTAACCTTGTAGTACCAACATAAAAAAATACTTTTCATTGCAGAACTCAAACCAACTTTGGAGTTGTCTGATTTGGAGAGTCATCATTCTTGGTCTTCCTTTCTTAAAGGAATAGTTCGCACAAAAAAAATAATTTACTTGCCCTCATGTCATTCCAAACCTATAAGACTTTTGTCTATCTTTAGAACACAAATGAAGATATTTAAATTTTCTCTCATAATATTTTGTTAATCCATTGAAAATCTAGATAATCAGTATTTTCAAGCTTCAAAAATACAGTTATTGTAGAAGTAATCCATGCCAATATTTATATATGAATAAATCTTCAATTATATCATAGAGAATATGTCTGTTCAGAAAAAAAAAATTGGTCTCCCAGACTTGCAATGGAGGTCAAAAATTAAGAGAATATTAAATATATTTATTTGTGTTCCAAAAATTAGCAGAGTTTGTATGGGTTTGTCATGCCTGTTTTAATGTTTCAGTAAAGAAGTAGATTTCTGAAAGCAATATATTTATTTAAACAATATTACATGCCCTCACACTAGTGCTGCCATTACAGAGACATTAAACAACCACACAAAGTGGTTGAAATGATAAAGCAGACTATTTCCCTATCCTTACTGCTGTGGATGCACCTCTGTCTGAAAATGGATAGATTTTAATTAAATGTTTTCTTTTTTCAAATGTTTTTCTCTTTTTAGGCCACTGATGAAGAACAGGCGGTGACTGTGATGAATACTGGTCAAAGAGGAGAAGGTCCTTTCCCCCAAACTGATGCAACAGTGGTTTTAAAGGAGGAGGCTGCCCTGGATAATGTAAAAGATGTCACATGCCTTTGCTGGGCTGATGGGGCTTCTTCATGACTACATCAATTATGCTAAAGAGATCATGAAAATTGGCAGCGATGCCTGATCTGTATTCATGGACTATGAAAAAAACTGTAAGCGTATAATTTGTAAAAACAAAATGTTAAATGCTTGTTAATGTTAAATGCTTGTAGAAATGGTTTACACTCCGTCATTCATACACATGCTCACATTCTTTCACACATATGTTTCTGATCAATGTTATCATATCAGTGTTAATGTTGTAGTTTATTTACTGTCATGCCAGAATAGTTTGTAAAGAACTTAACAGATCTAGGATCATTTTCGTCTGGTGAAAGAGGTATATATTAAGTACAAGAAATATGAAATGCATGGCTTAACATAATATATTTCAGCAATCCTTATGCAAAATTGTATGCCAATGGTGAGTTCCAAAATGTGAAAAAGCACTTTCCCCCCAAAAGTTTGCATGCCTGTATCTCAAGAAGCATTAAAGACATATTTTTTTTAGACTGTGGTTCTTAAAAAAACTATTTTGTTTCCAACTATCAAAATAATTGAATGGTTCCCCAGTGGTTCAACTCAGTGGTTTTAAATCCTGAAATGTAAAAGTCTTTACCAAATAAACTGCATGTTTGAAAAAATTACTAGTAAAAAAAAAAAAAACAGGCCAATTAAGGTCTAACAGTATTCAGGTAAACATCTTAAGCTGGTGTAGCTGGTTTTTCCCAGTAGGAAAAAACAGCTAAATTAAGTATACTTAATTGCTTTTAGATAATAAAACCATAATTATAAAATTACTTTTTCCTAATGCAAATACAATTAACAGACAAATGTTAATAAATCTAAAAAGTATAAAGATAACAATGTATTAATAAAAAAAGGTAACATTTCAATAAATAATTATTCAAAGCAAATACAAATATTAGCCAAGTAAACAAGGAAAATAATGACATGGATCTCTCTCCTACTGACTTGCAAGTAGGGATGGGTATTTAATGGTGTTACTACTCTTACAATACGGCTTATTGATCTGGTACTTTGTATTTTTTTTTTTACTGAAAAACTCAGTGGTTTTAAATTCTGAAATGTAAAAGTCTTTAGCAAATAATAAAAACATATTTTTTTTAGACTGTGGTTCTTAAAAAAACTATTTTGTTTCCAACTATCAAAATAATTGAATGGTTCCCCAGTGGTTCAACTCAGTGGTTTTAAATCCTGAAATGTAAAAGTCTTTAGCAAATAAACTGCATGTTTGAAAAAATTACTAGTAAAAAAATAAATAAAAAATCAGGCCAATTGAGGTCCAACAGTATTCAGGTAAATAATAGCCTACAAAAGAAACAGAATAAATGAACCAAATGTAAATAACCTTTAATGCACATTACAGCTACTAAAGTCATTCATACAAGAGCAGAGAGTGAAGTTTTTCATTTTATTTTACTGTTTGATGATCAGTAATGACAACTGAACATTATATAAACATTATATAAAACTCATAAGCACAATGATATAATTTATAAGCAAAAAGACATACAAGAATAAAAATTTGTGACATTGTTCTTTGGAGAGGAACTCCATCTTTGAGTTGATCTGAATCTCACAGTTGAATCTGCTGGTTTTGAAGATGAGCTTTATTCACTGTGAAAACTTCAGATAATGTTTCTTTGTCATGTCACTTGTAATGACAGATTTATCCAGATGATATTTCACTGCTCGATGCATTATTGTGTCACATTTGGTGAAGACACAGCATCAGATCTGAAAGTGCTGGATCTGAAGATGATCTACTTACTGTGATTGTTTTTTCTATGACTGTGTAGAGAAGCTGAATGATTGAAACACTTCCCGCATGCAGTGCAGCGATACGGTTTCTCTCCAGTGTGGATCCTCTTGTGTGTCTTCAGGTTTCCTGACTGACTGAATCTCTTGTCACAGTATAAACACTTGTACGGTTTCTCTCCAGTATGAACTCTCACATGTGCCGTAAAGTGTTGTTTTAGTGCAAAACTCTTCCCACATTGATCACATGTGTGCGGTTTCTCTCCTGTGTGGACTACCTTGTGTTTTTTCAGGCCTCTTGACCAACTGAATCTCTTGTCACAGTGTGAACACTTGTAAGGTTTCTCTCCAGTGTGGATGTTCATGTGATCCTTAAGGTTTGCCGATTGTGTGAAACTCTTTCCGCACTGATCACAAGTGAACGGTTTCTCTCTAGTGTGGATGTTCATGTGTATCTTAAGGTGCGATGATTGAGTGAAGCTCTTTCCGCACTGATCACAAGTGAATGGTTTCTCTCCAGTATGAACTCTCATGTGAACTTTAAGCTTATGTTTGTATGTGCAACTCTTTCCACACTGAGTGCAGGTGAAAGATTTCTTGGCTCCTCTTTTCATTAAATCTTTCTGTTTGGTTTGAGAGCAGCTCAGTTCTCCAGTTTTGACATGATTATTCGTATCAGCTTCACTCAATTCTTCATTCTCTTCGTTTTCTTCAATCAACTCTAAAATAAAAGTAAAAATGGTTGATTTTCAGTAACTCTCAGTAACCCTGATGAACTCTGATGTAAAAAAATAAATAAATGTAGACAATTGCTAAACAAAATTTTGGTCATTATTGTTATTTGTTTTTTTTATTATACACCTCTGTAACGTTCCATGAAGGAAGTACATTGATCTTCAAATGATAATTTTTAAAACATTGAAACTTTCCATGGATGAGGTACATTGATCTTCAAAATATCATTTTTAAAACATTATAGACACAAATCCCAGGTTTCTTTAGGGAAAAATATTAAATATGTTTGATCAGCTATACTATTATCTAACAGAAATTTTGTTGATGAATGAAGAATAAACACCAACCTGTTAGTTCTTCATTATCTTCAGTGTGTTTGATTCTGCAGGGTTCTGGATCTCTCATCTTCTCTCTGTCCTCTTTAATAAACTCAGTCTTTGCAGATTTCAGCTCTTCCTGATGATTTGATGCTCCTCTTCACTTGTAATCTGATGGGAATATTCCAGCATTTATTGCTGAACTGTTGAAAGTGTGATTGTTGTGGGAGGAGCTTCACTGAACATGAATTTCTGTGTGGAAAAAGCAGATTTGCCAAAATCAATACATCAGTTAACTTAGTTATTTTTAAACAATCTACACATTTAAGCATTTATGTAAGTGAAGCAGATGTCCTCCTTATTCTATCTTTGAAGAGACCAGAGCCTTACAAAAACAAAGTTTTGACTATTTGTAAATCATAATATTACCATACTAAAATTAACAGCATTGACACAAAAAGCACATCATTTTTAAATGCTCATTCAATAACACTGCACTCATATATGTGGCAATTCACACATTCAATGCATTTCTGTTGTCTGTCTTTATAGTGTCAACATTTCTATTGATGTTTTAGCAGAAAGTGTGTAGAA